CTTTAGGGGTCTGTTCCCAGGCCTGTATAAATACCACCCTGAAGGGGAATTTAAATTCAATTTGTCTCTTGGACAGCCAACACAGACAGGGGTAGAAATGCACCTCATGAAAAATAAGCTGATGTTCCAGAGGACAGTCTTTAGGTGGGAAGAAAACTCCTAACCAAAGTTCCCAAAAACCTGAGCAGTTGGCAAATCACCAAAAGACCTGTTTACAGACCTCAAATCCCCTCCTACTTTCACACAGAAGCATTTCAATACTTGGAGCTGTACATTTAACTTAATTTCAAATTTAAAAAATTAAACTCATATGAAAACATTTTCTGTGAGTTTTCATCCTGGTAAGGAGTGATTACACACAACTACCTGACCATCATGGCTCCTGGCCATCTGAAATCAAGCTGAAATAAAATAAGTTTTAAAATTGCACAGTCTTAACACATAGGAAATGTAAAAAAATGTATTAAAAAATTAGGTTTAGACTGCTCTGGTTAAAGGCTGTGGATAAATGATGACCATTCTCATCAACATTTCGTGACAAATGCCTGCTGAGTTTCTCTCCAATTTTAACTGATCTAAGTATTTCTAAATCACTTTCAATAAGATCCTGTGACTGTACATTCCAACACATCTGATGCATTAAAACAGATATTTAAGAAACCAATTTATAGCAGGTCATGCTCTGATAAAGACTTTAAACCTAAGCACAGCACAGCACTCAAGCAGAGGCAAAAGAGGCCACTGGAACTCCATGGAGTAAACAGCATTTTCCCAAGGTTTTCCAGCATTGAAAGCAAAGGAGTCAACAAGCTGATTAGAGGAGTTTCTATGGGGAACTAATTCCTTTCATACAAAACTCATTTAACAAATTGCTGCCTCAGATCAGTTCCCAAAACCCTGCTTCACCCCCAGTGTGCCCATGTCTGTTAAGTTTGGATGGCTTGGTAGATGCACTGGTGTAGCATCTATGAAACACGGCTGGAATTTCTGCTGTTGAAAATCTCTCCCAAAATCTCTCTTTTATTCACTGAATCTCAGCAGTCCTGTGGGGTCACCCCAGGTGTCTGAAGTCCAGGGTTAGCCCAAGCTGCAGGCAGTGCAGCTCCCATGCACTGATGATAAACAATACCCACAGCAACCTGAACACCACTCTACAACCAACACCTGCTGTCACCTTCCAAATGGTGGCAACTGAACAGAAATTTAAAGTATTTTAGATCCCTTAATAAGCATAACAGAAATTTAAAGTATTTTAGATCCCTTAATAAGCATAAATAGAGATATTATAACACTTAATTTTAAATAAAAAATATTAATGTACAATTCAGATCTTCTGTCTCGGAGGTTTTGATTTGCATAGCTCTGCAAATCAGAAACTGCAGAATTATATTTACTGTGGTCAGCAATACACAACACTGCTTGAAGCATGTCACTCCTTTTTTCCCCAGAGCACAAGAGCAGAGATCCCCATCCTGACACACATCCTGTCTCCTGAAACGACCCTTGTGGAGAGCAGGCCAGGCCTCAGTGGCTGCCACAGCCCAGGAAATCCCATCCCCGCTGGCCCGGCCGCACGTTAATCCCAGTCTGTCACACACAGAGCAATATTCTGATAAATCCCAGCTGAGAGCAGCCCTACATAAACACAGCCCTGCAATCCATGGATAACAGCAGGGCTTTGCAGGGACTGCAGTGACCTGGGAGGGGCAGCAGGCTTGGTGCCTCACAGAGACTGGCATGGAGGCAGCCAGGATGCAAACCGGCTTCTGTAAGTGCACAACATACAAAATATCAGATTCCACAAGAACCAGGGAGTGTGACAATAGAACATAGATAGGACAACTGCTCAATTCTGCAGAAATTCTTGGAACTCGAAAACAGGGAGAAATAACTTTGTCACTACACCACAGGAAAATTTCTCAGGGTTAGGAATCTCTGTTCACAAATGACTTCTGCAGAAACAGATAAAATCAGTTGTATTTTAAGTGATAGTGAGAAGTATCTCAATGGGTTATATTCTTATTTTTGCTGTTTGCTGTGGCTTTTACATGCACAAATTGCAGAAAAATTATAGGAAAGAACTGTCTCCGAGACTTAATTGAGAGAAAAACAAGAATTGATCTAACTGATCACTGTTCTTCAAGTAATGCACAATATTAAAGTAAGGAAACCTGTCCTTTTGAAAGTTTTCAATTATTGTCAAAGCCAATGCTCTCACAAACTCCTCTGCAAAGCAGGGCTCCCTGAAAGGTTAAATCAGTGGTTCAGGGCCTCCTCTCCTCCTGGAGTCAAAGGAGGAGGCACTGGAAGCCCAGCACCTGGTGTGGCTGTGCACAGAAAACAGGACAACTCCGAGCTCCCTTGTTCCTGCTGGAACATCGACCTTATTAGCTGAGTGCAGAACATTCGGTTCCTGTACAGCAGAACTCGCCTTTCAAATGGGAATCTTGGAAAAAAGGCATTTCTCCAATACAATAACATTTAATCCAATACTTTCTGCTCTGCTTTAGCCCAAACTAAATTATGTCCAGCTGCATTATCTTGATGCAAAACAAGAGACAGAACTATTAATCTTGGAGAAGATATTAAACATACACACCTGCCCTTTCCACCAAGGACAAACATCCCCTCTCATGATTTCAATAAACACCTCAAGGTAACACACAATATTACTTCTGAGAGTCGTGGGGTTCTCATCTTTTTTTTTCAACAAAACACAAGCATTCACAAAACCACAAAAAAAATTCACAGAAGGAGATAACAGCAGTCCTTGGAAGCTGAAGATCTCCCCACTTGAAGGTCTCCCAGTCTCAGTGATTCACAATATTTTTCAAAATCCAAGTTTTCTTTTTTAAACAGTGTTTCAGACCTCTTTGGAAATGACAACCTGTTGGACTGCCAATGCACACCCTGCTGTTTAGAAGCTGGTCTTAAGCAAGTAAATCCCAACAAACCCAGAAAAATTGGATAAGTACATTCATCCATTCATCTCAAATGGATGAGAGCTGTGAAGCTTAAAATGTGAGAATTTCAATTCCCATTTTTTTTAGTGATATCAACAATGACCATACAAGGCATCATCTACTTGAAGTGCTCCCAGTGATGGGAATTCCATCAGCAGGGACTGCACAGGGCACCAGTGGCAAAGGAGGCAGCCACCAATGCCTTGGTGCCAACAACAGAACATTCCAGCAGCAGTCTGGGCAGTCTGTCCTTCCTTAAACCCCTCGTGGTGACAGCAACAGCTCTTGGCCCCTCAGAGCTGACACGAACTGCTCTTGGCTTCTGCTCATTCATGTCTTCTGCACCCAAATGTTTCATCCTTTGTGGACACTACAGTTTTCCACCAGAATTCTGATGGTGTGGCAGATCAGAAACCAAACCCATCTTTCCAAAGCACGAGTTGGACACTCAGCAAATCCCTCAAGACACAACTATTGAACACATGGCTCTGGTTTCCTTTAAAGAGCCCAACAGGCAGTGTCAAAGTACAAATATGAAACATCAATTCTTTCTATCCCAGTTGTGCTTTCTAAACACGACACTGCCAAAAGCAGGCTCCCAATGTGGCAGGTCTCTAAGTAAAGGGTAGAAGCTGTACAATACATTGGGTTTGGGGAGGGGGGTGCTGTCAGGTGTTATAATAACAATTCAAACATAAGCACAGCAGTACACAACTCTCTACATGGATTACACTTCCTGTACCAAAGTGTATCAAATTTTATGTCCGCATAACAAGCAAAACTTTTAATTTCATGATCCTGCAGATGTCTCTAAAACACTGAATCTTCTCTGAGCAGCCCAGTGTCTATTTTCAGCAGCCTTTTGGAGCTGATAATACCTTTGGAACCAAAATAAACCTTGATGTACATGCACTGTACTTGATGAAATCCTAGAGAGGGGGAGAAGGCTGCTACGAGGATCCACAGCAGCCAAAAGCTCTTCCTGGGAAAAGTGGAAGGCTTTCTGCAAACAAGGATTGTGTGACAGTTGTGCGGTTTGGTTACAGAGTGTCAAAACTCTGGCTGCAGCAGATGCTTTCACAGCCCTCCCACACCATGAGTCACCTGGGACTGTTCTGGCTTCACATGCTCCAGGAAACGCTTCATTCATGCTGAACTGGGTGAGCAGGGAGGGCAGCACATAGCTGTGCTCAGAGGAGTGGCATCACCAGGCAACATCCTTCGTGAGGATATTCTAGGCTCACATTTCTCTCATCAAGTAGTGGCTACATTAATTTTCTGTTTTACTGATGTAAATTTCTGCATTCTGGACAGATTTTTTTAAAGATTACCTTGAACACTGAAACTGCATTTTTATTTTGGGAGGTGCAGTAAAAATATCAGCATTTCTGTAGGATGAAAACATCAATTAAATCCACTTCTCAGGCAGAATTTGAGAGAAAGGAACAATGAAGTGGACAGATGAGGAGCAAGACCTGGCCATCTCGCACCAGCATGCTTGGGATTGTTTGCCCGGAGTGCAAACAGCTGAACTTGATTTCTATTTACATTTTTTGGATATTAAAACCAGATTAGCTTGAGCTACGTGTCAGATTTATGGCGCTCTCATGCTGGGATTTGCTGAGGGCGAGGAGAGCTGCACCTGCCTTCTGCACGAGGTCAGAATTGATGAGCTGGGGTCCCAGCTCAGGAAACATCAAGGCACTGGAACCACGATTTTGCAGCACTGTTGCACTGAGATCTTTCCAGCGCCGAAATGAAGCGCTTTGCTTTTGGTGCAGTGCAATAGAAAAATTGAACCTTCCCTCCGTTATTATGGCAATATTTTCAAGCTTTGCTACAAAATAATGACAATTAACAGTATCTAGAGATTCAGCTCTCGCAGAGATTGCTGCTAACAAATCTGAGCTGCTCTAAAACGGCAGGTACAAGCCGAGCTGTAAGAGGCGAGGAGGGGGTATTCTGCCAGCACTACATTCTCCTCCCTTCCCTTTAAACCCCACCCCACCCCACCACCAGAGAAGTCAGCCCCCTTACCTGATAATATCATCGTTGTGCCCGAGGAAGAATTTCTGGCTGTGCTCCCTGGTGTTGTAAACCACGCCGACTCCAGCCACGAAGTACACCACCTCTTTCCCTGCCGTGTAGTACAGGTTGTTGCGGCACTGGTGGCCCCGGTAGCCGTACACCCACTCCAGCCGGAGCTGGCAGCGCGGAGCCGTCCGATCCGCCATGATAACCAGCCCCCTGCCCACCGGCACACACAGCCGAGCGCCGGCCCGCCTTCCCCCGGCACGCTCTCCCCTTCCGAACGGCGGCGATCCCCGCCCGCCTGCCGGAGCCTCAGGTGTCCCTTCCGCGCGGGGATGAGGATGAGGATGGGGACGGGGCTGGGGCTGGGCCGTGCATCCGCGGATGCGGGATGCCGCCGATGCCGCCGCGCTACCGCCGCGCCGCCACCATCATCTGCCGCCGCCGCTGCCCAGGACGAGCCGCCGCCGCTCCGCCGCCGCTGCGCGACCCGGGCAACTTCCCGGGGGCACAAAAACACACCTACATAAGCAGCACACCCGGCTTTTTTTTCTTTCCGAAGGCAAAGTAACTTCTGTGCGTCACCAGCACCACCTGCCAAAGTCTCCCCGCTGCGTCTCCCGTGTTGCACCTTCTTGGCTTCCCGCACAAAGCTTCCTGGGCGCTCTTCTTTCTAACATATCTACCCTCGGGGCCAGGGCTGCAAGAGAAGAAAACGCAACACCCGTGCGCTAGAGCCGCAGAGTGCACCTGTGTTTAAAATGCAAAGGGACTGCCTGGATAAGGGGAGCTCTGCTTGGATGGGGAGCTCTCGTTCCGTGAGGGAAGATCTCCTCGGATGGGGGAGCTCTGCCTGGATGAGGGGAGCTCTGTTTGGATAGGGGAGTTCTCTGTGGGTGGGGGAGCTGCTCTTGGATGGTGCTGTGGCCACTCTGGGCTGTCTGGGGGGCTTCTGAGGCTTTTCAGCAGGATCCAGTGCTCCGAGTCCTCACACAAACCCTCCCTTTCAATATCATCTCACATACAACACCCAGCATAAATATGGGAATATTACCCCACCTTTCCTCACTCCCAGCAACCGAAAACTTTCTCCTTTTGGAGTCTGTAGCAACTATGTAATTAAGGCAATCTTATATTCCCGTTTTCAGTCACAAAACACTCTAGGTCACCACGAGATAGAGGGGACCGCAGTTTTGTTTGGGTTTTCTTTCGGGGGGGGGGGGGGTGTTTTCTTATTTTTCCCCTATTTTTTTTCAATGTTATCCTTTGGAATGATACTATAAGGAACACATTTTCTCTCTTGCCTTCTGCTTTTCCTAAAGCAGAATTCATATTACCATTATCAGTCGAGCTTGTTTGCTGCATGTTATTGGGTTATCCACTGCTTCATAGTATCACTGAAAGGAGCCCAAACCCAGCCCTCCAGAAACTCACTCCACAAGGCCACAACCACAGGGAAGAGGATTCAGAGGAGCAGAACCAAACATCCATTTGCAGTGCACAGCGCCAGACGGAGGGGAAGAGGGAATTCCAAGGCTGACGACCCCTGTACCTTTTCCCACACAACACGCCTCACACCGACCGAGCCGAGGAGCGGCGTGCCGCCACCGCTCGCACATGGGGTCACAGCGCCGACAGCACTCCGGGACACGGCAGCGGGACTCTCGCCCTCAGGGGAATGCAAGCCCCGGCGCCTCGGGAGCCGCCTCCGGCAGGAGCTCGGCCCCGGGCGGGCGGGGGCGCGGCCGGAGCCCTCACGCCGCCGGCCCTGAGGCGGAGCCGCCTTCCCGCCTCACGGGGCGCGCGCGGGCGGCGGCGCGAGGCCCCTCCCGCCCTGCTGCGGGCGCGCGCCCCTTCCCGCCTTCCCTCATGAGGGGCCCGGCCCTGAGGGCACCGCGGAGCCTTCGGCGATGGCCGGCACAGTCCGGCCCCGCCTTCGAGGCACATGCAGATTTAGGGACAAAGCGCCCCCATTTTTCTGCTCTCCCCGTGCGCAATAGTCTTCAAAAATCTCACAGAATACAACCAAATTCGCACTCACGTTTTTTAACTCCTTCCCAGCAGCCGCTCACCGCATGCACTTTGTTGTATCATAGAATGGCGGAATGGGTTGAGTGGAAGGGACCCGCAAGGATCAGCTCCTGGCCCTGCTCAGGACACCCCAACAATCGCACCCTGTCCCTGAGAGCGCTGTCCTGGAGCTCCGGCAGTCTCGGGACCGTGGCCATTCCCTGGGGAGCCTGGGCAGTGCCCGGCACCTTCTGAGGGAATGAGGGAAGAGCCTTTCCCTGATATCCCCCCCCAGGCTCTGACACGGCTCCCGCCGTTCCCTCAGGTCCTGCCCGGGTCACGGGAGTGAGGAGATCGATGCCGGCCAATTTTCCTGCCCTGGTATTATTCAATGGAATAACTTCCGTGTGATCGCAGTTTTCTTTTTTTTTCTTTTTTCTTTTTTCTTTTTTTTTTTTTGTTAATTATCTCATTTACATAATAAAATTAATCAATATGATAGATAGGCTCTTCACCTATCCAACTAGTTTCAAGCCTCTGCTGCCGTGGCTGTCACTTCTCTGTGGGCGAGGGCAGTCCTTTGTGTTTAACCCTTTAGGAAAATTTATATCCTGTGTTTTGGAAAAAAAATTATAAATTATTATCATCATTTTAACAATTAAGTACATTAGTCATGAATGAACACCCCATAAAAACCTCAAAGAAAAACCTTAAACATGTGGACTAACACAAGTTCAGTTTAATTCATTTTTCTATAACCTACACTCTCAAGAATTTGGTAAATTTTGATGGTGGTTGAATTAATTAAATTAATTTAAGCATGAGGTTTTGTGTCATTTTTTTGCAATTCAAAAAATGGCATTATTACTTTCCTATTAAGAGCTGTCATGTTGCTGAGAATGTTCCTCAATGCTGCAGCCTGCTGTTCACTGTCAGCACAACATAAATATCCAGGATGCTCTCATGAGCCGTTTTTTGGGTGTTAATTCCAGGTTCTGGAACCCTCAGCATCACAAAGAGAATGGAAGTAGCAATGCAAACCAAAATAAAGTGTGAACCTAAGTTAAAAGAAGGCATTTCTGTTTAAAAAAAAGAGTCGTCTGAATATACTACCAATTTCACATAACTGTAAAAATGAATGCTTTAAAACTTAATTAAAAGACACATAAAAATTGAAAATAGCAGCAGTATTTTTCCTCCTCATTGTGGAAAGGAGCCCACTGGCTGGGAACACATATCCTGTGACTTTACTACTTTTTTATTTTATATTTGAAATGTAAAAGCCAACTAATGTAGCGCCTTGGATGAGTAGTACCCGAGTGACAGTCACCACTCTGCTGAAGGGACAATTTGCTGCTGCTGTTGCATTTTTTGAGGGCTTTGGGGTTGGTTTTTTGGTTTTTTTTGTTTCTTTGGTTGGTTGGTTTTCTGTTTGGTTTGCTTCTTTTAAGTAAGCCTTTTATAGAAGATGCCAGAAAGCACCACATCTCAAATGAACTCCAATCCTCTGTGATACATCCTGCCCACTCTGTACATATCCAAGAGCTGTGATTAACAATGAACACTGAGGGTTTCCCTCCCAGAAACATCTGTCTTATGTCCTAGATCTCTGCTCCACAAAATAGCCTTTATAACTCATATTTTTATGGATGGATGTGCAGCAGATGCACAGAGATGGCATATTAATTGGTATTTCAAAATTAGTACCTCTTATCTGAGCTGCAAATACTTTTTAAAATTATATAAAATCCCTAATAACTCAGGGGAGGGATCAGAAGCAGGAGCTGTGATCTAGTTCTGTTTATTTGTTGCCTGGCATTACATTAATCCAATCCTGACTGATGCCTTTCGGTGATTTTACAATTTAACTACAAAATCATAACAGGGGAATTGGCTCTAAGCTCTTATCCCTTATGGGTAGAAATACTGATTTGCATTAATGCAATGCTTGGATCTGGCCAGAAACAGCGTTAGGAGAAAAGGAGAAAAGAAAAAATGGAGCCTTTTCTATCCTCACACTGGTTTTGGAGAGACCTGGCAGACCAGGCTCCTTCCAGAGCCAGCCTGGAGGGAAAGTCCTGACCAGCTGTGACAGATTGGTGCTGCTGCTGTCCCAGAGCTGAGCAGGACAGGCAGGGATGGCAGATGGACCAAACCCACCCCCGAGGTTTTAAAATTAAGTTTTAAAACCTCTGCATTCTGCCACAGTGGCCCAAGGTCTCCCAGACCACCTCTCACACGGGGTACTGCCTGCCTTCATCCAGCCTGGGGCTGCCTTTCTGCCACGTCTTCATGGAGCCTCAGCGACCGATTTCAAATCACTGCAGAAAGCTTGATCTTCCCCCAGAATCTCCTTTTTTCCTGCCACAGCAAGGATGGTGGAGCTCCTCACCTTTCTGTATCCTGGCTGCCATACTTGACTCAACTTCCCTCCTACGATGATTCAGCTGAGGCGTGTTTAAATCTTGCCACGAGTTTACATAACTCCTTAGCGATCTGACTTTGATCCGAGCTCTTCATTCTCTCGAGTGCACCAGTCACCCTCGGTGTGCGGTACCCCGCGTCTCCCTGGGTACAGTGACCTCTCATGGACAGTTCTGGCTCAGCTGGGCGTGGGAGGAGAGGAACAGCGGTAGCAACAACAGATTTGAAACAAAATTCGTGTTAGGCCCAGATATTTTTTGCTGTTACAACGCAATGAGCCACCCCAGCGTCTCATCTAACAGAGAAAGAGTATTGTGCGACATTCCTTACTTTGGAATATAAAGTAAATGATATTTCAGACACCGAAAAATGCGTATTCACGCTGCACTGTAGCTGTGGCGTTCACCATCACTGATCAGCTGGGGGGTGGCGCTGAGCAGGGGAGGATCCGGCAGGCACGGACGCACAGAACGCTTTCCTTTCATCCCATTAGGTGTTGGAATGCCGAGCAGCCCGTTCCACGTCCCTGCCGGCGTGTCCCGGGGCTGCCCCGGGCTGTGCTGTGGCTGCGGGCGGGCCGCGCTGCATTATGACACACTGCGGATGGCGGGTGCGCCCACGGGCGGCGCCCGGGCACCGCAGCTGAGCGAGGCACACGGCAGAGCCCTCACAGCACCGCACCGGCTCCGGACAGCCACAGCACCTGCTCAGGGGCTGCCCTCCACTGCACACGGCTGAGGTGTCCACTGCTTCCACTAATTTCATTCTTAACGTTAAGCAGGGATTTAGCACGGCCTGCTTTTCTGATTTTTTTTTTTTTAATGTTTGTTTCAACTCATTGGGATTTAAGTTTCTGTATTTCTTCAGCCACCTGTGATTAGCAAAGGTAGGGAAAAAAAAACAAAACAAAAAACAAACAAACAACAACAAAAAACCAGCCACCAAAAGTAGCAAAACTCTTATACCTGCAAGTTTTTTATTGCAAAGGTAGAATCTGAAAGACCGCACCCATTTAAAGTCTGAGAACTCAACCATAAGAAACAAGACTATGGTGAAGGGAAAAAACATCTAAATCAATATTTCACCAGGACAGAGATTGATAATTCCTTTCTTTTCCTTTACCATTACCATAAATCTTGCTCACACAAAGTACAGCCCTACCACAGAGCATATTCCCTGTGCAGAACAGATGGATTGACAGATTATTGGCATCAATCTAAAAGAAAACCCTCCCACCAACACATACTAAATTCTGATGGCTAAAGAGTTCTGGGTTTGTGCTCAATTTGCCTGGATATGGGAAGGACCCTCTGAGAGCTTCCCTCAGCTTTTAATGTGATGTGAGGGTCCCTCCAAGATGGAAAAAAGGAGACTGACCTGACTGCAGGACAATTCCTGCTCTTATCAATGACAAG